TATTTTCAAGATCAGCTGAACATGTAAATGACCTAATATGACTTTAGAATGGTGGATACAATGCATCTTCTGACAGGCTTAATTTGGGCGACTTGGAGCAGAAAACCCACTTTCTCTTCATATCTAGATAGCCATCATGGTCTACATAATCCCAGTCACAAAGAAAAATTTAATGGAATCCTAGAGAAATGTTACATTCTGTTCATGGATTTACTGAGCAAGGATGTGTACTCTGAGGTACTATCAGGAAGTCGTGAGTAGTTACTATTTAGTCAGCACCAAAAAGTCACCGATACACATTTTTTTAAGTGGGCTCCACTTCCCATGTGGGGCTTGAACTCATGACCCTGAGAACAAGAGTTGGATGCTCTACCAACTGAGTCACCCAGGTGCCCCCCCACCCCGCATCACTGATACACATTTAAAGGGCTTTTAACGTTGAGTTTCATTTCTCCAGATATGAAGTAAATATTCTTTGAATGCAAACATTTCTTTTCATTTAAAAAAGGCTAGTAGTTCCAGAATGCATATCCTTTAGAAGAGTTCCTTCCTTCTGTGCTGTCCATACAGGGAGCTGGGCCTTACAAGGACCCGGGCCAAGCTGAACCGGCTCAGCGTCACAGCCCCTGCAAGTTTCCTGTACAGGCTGATTCATCAGTTCAAGCCAGGTCTGCCTGGCTGCCAGCAGCTCACTGCTAATTACCAGGGCAAACGTGTATATTTCAAAGTTGGCAAATAGGATAACCCTTCTCAAAGGCTATTAGCTCTGCCACGAGCAATCGTTGATTTTGTCCTACTAAATGCTCCCCTTGAGTATGATCCTCGCCCATCTTTGGTTAAGAACAGTCAAAGGTAACACTCCTCAGGACAACAAATGCCCTGGGCAGTGATCCCAATAACTCACCCTTTGTCTGTCGCTACAAAGGCCGGGCTGGTCCCCCTCAGAATCAAGGATATTATTCCAGACAGCCCAGTCACTGTCGGTTCAGAAGCTCCCTTAGCAAACGAGGGGTTTCAGATACCCTAGCAAGAGCTCCTGAGCTGCAGTTTTCTGTAACATCTCCATAATAATATGTATTTGGCTGAAGCAGGCCCTCCGCATGACTGACGCACAGGGAATGGCTGCAAGCCTAACCCGCCTTCACTAACCCAGAGAATTGCCTTCACTGTGGGACTCAGTCTACCTTGAAGCTAATCCCCCAAGAGCTCACGGAAACAGCCAACTATCTCTGCCTTGTACCTTTCTCTGGAAACACAATCTACCAATAGCAAAACCAATTTGAAAAAAAAAAAAAAAAAAAGCACATTACTCAAATTTCATAGCTGTTATCAGAGTGGGAAAATTATGAACTAAAATGGATGGCATGTTTCTTTCCTTGTATTACAAACTAAATTCCTCCTATTTAATAAGTTTGATTATTAATGAACTTGCATTAGTTTTGATTTAACAGAGAGCATGAATCAAATAGTTAACACCTTAATGATGTGATAATATTTATTAGCACAGTAAATCCTGAATATAGGAGATCTATGATTCTTTTAATACTTCCACTTTATGAACTGGCTTTAAAAACATCAAAGACATGCTCTTTTGAAGAACAAAGTTTTCGAGCTTGGACGAAAGAGAAGGTAATCATTACAAATTCATTACGGATCCATCAGAGATTTTTTTAATCCATTTAAATCCAAGTAAAGGAGATCAGATTCTGATCTTACATTATTTCTACATTTTTAGAACAACTTTTCACTCACAAATTCAAGGTTACAATGGCATTAAAAATATCCACAGGAAAAGACTGGCATGAGATAGAAGAATATGATTAATTGCTGTTGCATTAGAGTGATTTTTTTCCCTCTATTTTTCAAATTTCCAAGAGCAGGGTTACGTCATTTTCACGGTAAAAATTATAAATTAAGAAAGAATTCAAGATTACAAAACAGCTGACTTTATAAAGTAATTCTTCAAACAAACGGGCAGAAAGAAGGCATTCAAGCAAAATAAAGAAGATGCTCCATGTAAAGTTTCACCAGGTCCTGGGACAGCTTTAGAGATGAAGCCCATTGTTAGTATTTCCCGGCATCACAGTCCTTGGGGACGGGAAGCAGTGAGAGCCCCCTTTCCTGTGACACTGCAGATCCTCACCAGGCAAGTATGACCCATGCTGGATTTCTATAGGTTTATTAGCCTTGTGTGCCTGGGGAATCTTAACGCACTTTTGGAATCTGTACTCGATTTGGTTTTATGGTGAGAAAAGTGAGGTTCACACGTAAGTACCACAATGACCAGTTAATGGGGACATCACCATTAATTGCTGAAAAAGCAGCCATTATAGGTGACCATCCTGCCTCATTACTGGCCTTCTGTAACCCATGGGCTTAGAGAAAGATTAGGTAACAGTTCCTTTTCAAATTATATTTCCTTCAGTCAAGTCTGTTCACTTAAAAAACAAGACAACTATATGCACAAGACTGTAAACAGATCTCATTCACACTGACAGCCCACAGAGGGGACTCTCCATTAATCACCCATGCAGGTTTTTTGAGCAATAAACCCCAAATCGGTATTTAAAATATGTGTGCATCTATTAAGATAAATTCTTAAAACTTAGTTTTTAAATAGCCCAGTGGACATTCCAAACCAGTAACTTTACCCAGGGAGGGGGGATATAAATGCTTCCTGTATTAGGATATAAAAATAGAAAACCCCAATAAGGATTTCAGACTCTGTTCCCCAAGAAATCACACAATTTGTGCCCAAAGGCGGTACAGATACCAATGTAACTTTCTTCCCTGATCTCTGAATACATCTCCTCCACAATGGAGGTATCTGGGGGTTGGGCATTTGCCTAATCCCACGGGGTCCTCTGGCTGGGGTCACAGCTGCTGGCTGGTGAAGAAGGATTTAGTCTCCCTGCAGACAGGATTTACACAGAGCGGACAACTCAGAGTCAACTGCTTGGAGCACAGCTCGTTTGACTGGATGTGTGACAGCACCAAATCGGCCAGGGCCTGGAAGACGGGCGACAAGAAGCAAAGATTCCTCAGAAGCATCAAGTCTGCTCTCTCCCCACGCGTCTCCCTCCCCCTCCCATCTGCCCAGATAATCACTATGGCTGGGGGTTTCTTTTCGTCTGAATTATGGCTACTTTGAACTGGATTCTATAATATCTTCGTTTCCTAAGGATCCTCGGCTTAGACAAAAGTTAAGATAGAGATTTTAGAGAAGAAAATCCTCTTACCCCACCTGCTAAATCTGGTCTCTGAAAGGCAGATCTTAAATCAGACATAGTTATAGGTGGGTAGAAAATAAGAAAATCGGGGCTATCTAAACGAAAAAGGAGCAAGAGCATAAGGAATTCGATTTTATTTTTGTAATTAATTGGAACTCAAAATGTTCTAATATGTGAGAAAACCAATATTCTGTAAGAGCTTCTCAGAGGATTACTCTCCGATATGTTCTACGAAAATGGTTGCAACAGTATAGATACCTTGGAGAACAATGGATTTCCATTAAGAGACTCTGCTCTTCTGATGTTTTCAACTCCACACTGAATCAAATGAGAAAAAGAGGGAAAACCACATACACATTTTATTTTCTTTTTTTTTTTTTTAAAGAAACCGCTACAAAAAAGTAAACAGACATAGATACATACACAACTTAAAGTCCTACTTCCAAAGTGGTCCCAGACTGCTCAGAAATGAAAACAGCCACGGGACCAGACACAGATGTTGATTTTCACCTCTGTTATCATAAAATTGCTCTCAGTTTCTATTCCTTCCCCCACCCCATTACCTTCCCATAAGCGCTTAGTTTCCAAACCGTTTTCGAGGCTATATTTGACAGAATTCTCAAGTCATTCAAATCTGCTTACCATTCTTTTTTTTTAATCTACCTTTCTAATGCGTACTTTTACAGACTCTACCTAAGCAGAATGTTGCTTTAATTAAATAAATCTTTATGCCTGTTTTGATTCCAATTGCCAAAAGAGGTAAATTAATTTAATGTCTGGTGAACCTAGATGGGATCCAATGCAGAGTTGGGTTTTTAAATATATTCTTACACAGAAAAATCCAAAATAAAACCTGAGGACTGTTTCACTATCATCCTTGCTTCCCTCCCCCCAAATACCCAGTTGATTATCCCCCAAATAATTAAGAAACATCTAATTATTGTTCACTCAGGTAGTCAAAATCTTCTTTCTAAAATGCAGATGGCTTTTTTGTTGCTTTATCGTTTAAGTGAACTTCAACTGACAAGGGAAAATGGTGAGATCAGCAAACACATCGTTCTCAACTTAAAAAGAGACTGTATTCTAAAACTTCATGTAGATGTCAGTAACGGCAGGATAACCAACACTGGCAGTGGACTTTAACACTGTTCATGGGACAGTTACAGGATACAACTCTGTAGGGCAACCCAGTAAAATATCTACCACCATTTAAATTCCATTTCTAGGAATTTTATCCAAGAAAATAATTGGAAAAGTAAAAAGGAAATGATGTTTATTACAGAGCAGTTTAGGAAAGTACAAAGTTGGAAACATACTGATGCATACTGATCAAGGATTTGTTAAAAATAATTATACAGATCTAACTACATTTATTGACTTGGGTCTGTAACATATTTTTAAGAAAAAAAAAAAGATTACAAAACAGTATGAATAAAATACCATTTTTGTTAAACATGTAGGAGAATACCATTTTTCTTAAAGTACACATACATTTAGAGAAAAAAGGGGACTTAATTTTATTAAAATATTAACTTACTATCTCTCAGGGGTAAGATTCTGAGTGAGCTCTACTCTCATTGTGATGCTCCTCTAAATTGTCTGGGTTCTTTATTATTTTTATTATCGATAAGCAGTAATTTCATCTTGGGGGAAAAATTCAAACTACTTTTTAAAGAAAGTTGTTTAAAATTTTTTTTAATGTTTGTTTATTTTTGACAGAGAGAGAGAGATAGAGCATGAACGGGGGAGGGGCAGAGAGAGAGGGAGACACAGAACTCGAAGCAGGCTCCAGGCTCTGAGCTGTCAGCACAGAGCCTGATGGGGGCTCGAACTCATGGACCGTGAGATCATGACCTGAGCCGAAGTCGGACGCTTAACCGACTGAGCCACCCAGGTGCCCCTAAAGAAAGTTGTTTTAAACACAGCATATTCTCCCATCAAAACAATGAAGTAAACTGTAGCTAGATGGTCTTCTTTATTCTATGGATAATCTATTCATCACTAATAATCCATTTGATTACTAAGGAATAATCTCGGTTTAGTAATGTTAACAACCGTGAATTATCATGCAATACGGAAACTTATTTTCCGAACACACTGGTACGAACTATATTTGCACGTAAGTCTCTTTAGGAAGCTCACGACCAGCCAAGGTCACGGTGGGATACAGGAGGCACCATTACATGACGTCCACAGACAATGCTGCAACCACTTTCCCATCATTTCTGTATCAGAACTACTGACACCCTCCAGCTTCCTCAACATTTGATGACCAGCGTGCATAAACAGAACCCCGTGGGGTTACGTGCCGGCTAAAGCTCTCTCCAAGCCGCTCGCACCCTGTCCCGTGCGTGCCACCCATTCTCAGTCCCGGAGAGAGTGAGGTAGCCTCTGAGGCCAGGCCTCCATCCAGCACGCATGGGGACGACCAGGGCCGGGAATTCTGGCAGAAGATGGGGCGGCGGGCGAGGGCTTCTGGGGTCCCAGAGCTTCCACAGTCCCCATAGAAACAATGCTATACACTCGATTCCGGTTTCGGGCCGGCCCCCTGAAGTCATGAGATGGGGCAACAGTAAGTTCGTCTCCACTGTGAATGAGAACTCTCATCCGTCTTACATTATAAGACACTAAGGACGGTAGGCTTTATTTCAATAATCAGATTGATCACAACACGGTAGCAAACGGCTAATTAAGTGAGTGTATCAAAGAAGTCAAGGAAATTACAACACACTGTGCCTCAGTGTTCATTCGATGGTCTTCTCCTAAATGACAAAATCCAACAAGAAACCGTGTAAAACCCCAAGTAGAGGGCACTATTAGGCCCAGAGGAATGCTAACACAATACAATTCTTTTCCTCCAAACTGGTGAGAAGTCCAATTATTCTGTCTTAAGAAAATGTAGCTTTAGTACTTCCAGGTGATATACAGTGTCTCCAACTAGATAAAATGATGTTGCTCCCGGTCACGGCTCGGCACCTGGGTTCACAAAGGCACAAAAGTGCTTCCTCTCTGCTGACGTGGAATTAACTCAATGCGTTCAGACGAACTCAATTTAAATGTTATTTGGAACAATGAGGCCACGGTACAGGCAAACCTATCTATCAAAGAACATACTATTTTATCCCTTCAAAATCTTTTTCTAATTCCAGTATGGTTAACATACAGTGTTATATTCGTTTTGGGTTTACAGTACAGTGACTCAACAATTCTACGTGTGCCCCAGTGCTCGTCAAGATGAGCCTGTACTCTTCAGTCCCCTTCCCTTACTTGGCTCACCGCCCACCCACCTGCTCTCCGATAACCACCGGATGGTATTTTTGAATGATGCAATTATATCGCTGCAGAGAAAGTTTCCTTCCAAAACAAATCACAACTTACGAATGGAACCAATAATCACATTTACCTCGTTAGCCAGAACTTGGGAGTACTCGATGTCCAGTTCGTACAGCGTTTCAATGTGATCGCTGGTAAACGCTATCGGGACCAAAAGAATGTTCTTCCTCCCCCTCTCACAAAGCCCTTTGATGGTCTCGTCTGTTTGAGGGCCCAGCCAGGGCATCGGACCAACCTGTGAGAAAGGAGAATGAACACACACAGGGACCCCTTTCTGCCCCGTGTCTGTGACACGCCACAGCCCACCGCCCTGGACGCACACCCGCACGCTGCTGAGAGTGAGGGCCACGCTTGACATTCGCATTAGTGGGCTTTGCTATTTCTCTGTTAAGCTCGAATCCTTCTAGAAGTTGGCATAATATAAATAAATAGCAATTTCTGCCATTACAACTAAAAACAAATAATACATTAAATCAGTGAAATTCAACTGGTTGCTTGACTTCCCCTCCATTTGACCTGCCTGCAGAGTTCCTTCTGCTCATGGCGAACCACCAGGTGATAGAACATTCTGCGTATGTGAAAGAGCCAGATCTAATCATTTCATAACTAAGTCCTAAAATAGATGTCCTCAGAAAAGCTGACTGTAAACGTATGGAAGCCACCTACCTTGGACTGCCAAACCAGTCGGTAGGGGTTGGAGTAACCCAGCTTATCCATGACTCTCTGCACAGTGGCGCCCACCTCCTGAGGATAGGGATCCCCTCTGTTGACCACCTGCAGCAGAGACACATGGGTGTTCGGTCGCCAACACTGTGAAGGGGTCCAAGAGCCTTGGACTGTGCGGTGTGACCGTGTAAGCCGGGGACCTTCCCCACTGTCTTCTGCACTCAATTGCCAAACTTCCTCGGGTCTATTTCCTCATGGGCCAAAGGAGAACACCGCATTCACTCCTCTCTAAGTAGCTAGGAATATGTCAAATTCTATGTTCTCTGTTATTCATAGGAGATTGATGTCTAACGAGGGAGGATGGGTCTTTCGGTTTCCCCATCTGAAATACGGAAAGCGGGAATCGAGAATATTGTGTGGACGGCATCTGGACCTGTGGAATCCACGGCACCAGCTTCACAGAAGGGGCAAATGCTGGTGGAGTAAGACAGAAGAGAGAAGCAGCTCATGGGTTCACACACCAGGCTCCTCGAGAATATGACCTATACCTTCAAATTCCTTTTTTCCCACTTTCCCCACAGCAACGGACTGCAAGGCAAATGCTTTGTGCACAGCAAACGTCTGATAACTGGTCCTGACACAACAGCTTGTTAATACTTTTGAAAATTTCAATAGGAATTTTATTTTTACTGCTTTAACATTTAGCTGTGCACTAACTCCACAACCCCTTATGCTGCTTTATTTAATAATACTTATTATATACTTTCTAACTAAATATTATTTATTCCCACAATACTTATTACCTTCTGACATAACATACTATTTTTTTTCTGTAATATGGTTATTATCTGTCCCCCACCCCCACTCTCTGGGGACAAAGATTTTTGTCTATTTTGTTCATTCCCATATCCTATAACAATGGATAGACAGTGGATAAAACAGTACTTAGAATATAGTCGATAGAACAGTGCTCAATAAATACTGTTGAAGTGAAATCTGGATAAACTATTTTATGATATTACCAAAAGTTAGTTAAAAAGCCGTTAGCATTAGAAACCTAAATGTAGAATGAATGAGGAAAATATAAAGTCGCCATTAGAACAACACAGAAATAATCACTATAGGCAAGATCTATTGAAGGATGCTAAAATTAGTGAGCAAAGGTCTAGGAAAAAGAAAGCATTTGCCTAGTCTCAAATTATCTCACCCAAGATATTTTAAATTACAGAGAGAAAAACAGTAACTTTACTATGTACAAACCCAGCAGGTACCACCTCAGACAAATGGCCAAGGATCACATCACCAGTAGTAAGACGGGTTATTATCATGTGCCCAAATACAACGCACTGAGAAGGACCAATCAGCATGGAGTGTTCTTCCCCGTACTACACAACCTCAATCTAATCGTGAGAAAATGCCAGACGTGGGAATGCAAGCTAGTGCAGCCACTCCGGAAAACA